TGAATAATGGCTGGCTAGGAGGAGGGAGGCTAGGAGATTTGGAAGGGGGTTCTAGGTAAGGGGAACAGCATATGCAAAGACATGGAGGCATAGAAGACTTAGAACAGCAACCTCTGAATCTGCCGTCGTGGCTTTTACCTTCTTCTGAGTATGGATGCATTGAGGGTGGGCTAGGTATCTCTCACAGCACATCTCATCACAGATGAGATGATTTTATGTAGGTCCACTGATGAGTACATTGCGTGTAATGAGTGCCATTTTTCTGCAGCGCTACTTTGCTTGGAACGAGCCCAAGGTTGAGTCTCCGTTAGGTGCTACTGTGTCTTTAACACCTTCCTTTCTAGCACTTGCCATTCCCTACCCCCACCTCCAGCCTTAAAAAAGGTAGGCTTACTGGGGTTGTGGAAATGTTCTACATCTTTATTGTGGTTGTGGTTACAAGGGCGTATAACATTTGGCAAAACTCATCAAACTCTACATAGTCAAAATTGGTATATATAAAAGTTCTACTTCAATAAAAAGAGAGCATTCAGGGCAGAAAAAGGGTGGACCTCAGACTAGAGCCTTTGGAAGGCGACAGTGTCTTGAATCTCGAATTTAGTGACTTTTATTTTTATTGTGTTTTTTACCCTACCTTCTATTTACGGAGGTGACACAGATTTTCCATTAGCGGCAGTGGTATAAAGTTTCCTTTTAAAATAAAAAAAAAATTAAAGTACTAGGTCAGTGAATTTAAATAGAAATATTAAGTAAGTAAATAATATTTACTGGTGATGCACAGATATTGCAAAGATCGCGCAAGTCGTAAAAGGAGCGAGATTTTGGAAAAAATTTGGAAACCCTTCTGAAAATCTGGTGGTTCTGAGATGAAACTCACTTGGCCCAGTTGCCTTGTGGGCATGGCCGTGGCCCCCAGGGGCTGGTTGCGAGGGGGGGGGGCAGTTGTATAAGGGGAGAGAGAGAGAGAGAGAAAGCGAGCGAGCGAGCAGAGAATCCTAGTTGCTTAAAGAAATGTGTTCACGATGAGCTGTGCGTCTGGGATATTTACTGTCAAACACCCAGAGGGCCGAGAATGGAATGATGATAAATTACCGTCACATTCCCTGCTTGCTGTGCAACTTTCAGAATCTTGAGAGGAAAAAGAAAACGGAAAAACTCTGCTGCTTGGATTAATTAAAACCAGTGTAAATGCTTCGGATGCTTTTGCTCAGCAAAACCGGCCTTTCTGTTTTGCACTGCTTGCCAGCGAGTGCGAGTGATGTGTGTTTTCATGGCCGGGTTTCTGTGCCGGTTCCCATCAGGCCCGAGGGGGTGTGTCTGATGAGATGTGATGCCGTTCATCTGATAAAGGCTGGAATTTTTGCTAAGAGACTTTTTGTGGTCAGTTGTGCTGGTTCACGGGGCAATGGATGATCAGAACATTGTTGGACATGGATTTGATGTTGATCTCTTGCTAGATTAAAAATGTGCCCTCTGTTACCTGCCGGGAAGGCGTGTGTGTGCGTACATGTGTGTGTGTGTGTGTTTGCACACATAGATACGAGTTGTTAGGGATTGTCTCTTCCTAAGAACGTGAGACCTTATAGACCCCAGCTAGAAAAAAATCAAAGGATTTTACAGCCAGAAGTGACCGGAGAGACCGTTCTGGTTTAGTGCTGTCCTGCTATAAATGGGAAGGTGAGACATAGAGCCAGTGGAGGACTTTCTCAAGGTCACACCACTCGTTAGTGGCAGAGTAGGACCAGGTCTCAATTTCCTGCTTCTTAAACCAGGGTGTCATTACTGTATATCCTGTTATGTCACCTGCACGCCCCATCACCTTTAAAATAAAAACATGTTTCTTTTGGGAATTGTATTTCTTTTCTCAAGGTCATACAGGAATCAATCTCCTTTCTGCCATGCTTGATTACTTAGTTTCCCAGCAGCTGTGTGTGTACCTGTGTACACATTGTTTTATCCTCTGCTTTTATACCGTGCATGCTTTTCTCCTCTGACACTGTATCTTGTGGTCATTCCATTTTAATGCAGAAAGAATTTCTCTAACCCTTTATCTAGTCCTGTTGTATCCCATTGTATGAACAAACCAGAATTCAACCCATCCCCAGTTGATGGACATTAGGTTGCTTCTAGTCTTTTGAGGTTACAAACAGGACAGCATTAACTAATCTTATGCACACTTCACTTTGCATATATGAGGGTTTGTCTGCAGGATAAATTTCTAAGGCAATACTGTTTGGTTGGAATTTTGGTAGATATTACCAAATTACGCTCTCGAGGTTGTATCTTTCTACTTTTTGGTTTGGATGTTAGCATCTTCGAGGAGCAGTTTAAATGTTTCACATAGACTTTTGTGAACTCACTTTTAAAAAATTCATTCACCCAACTAGCACATATCTTTAAGCCAGGAGCGGGGGTATGGAGCAGAACGGAGAAGCATGAGTGGGCTTTGATCTTGCCAAGGAGATCAGAACGCCTTCCCCAGCACATGTCACTTGAGCTGGAAGGAATGAGTGGCTTTAGTAATGTAGAGAAGAAGAGGCCTGGGTATGGTGGGAGAGGAGCCGTTGTGGCAGAGGGAACAGCAAGTGCTAAGGTCCTGAGGCAGAAAGGAGGTAGATGCTTTCTAAGAAGAGAAATAGTTTGGTTGGAGTCCAGGGAGAGATGTAGGAGAATAGAGAGAGGTGAGGCTGGAGGTGGCAGGCAGGGTTTGGTCAGGTTGGCCTAGATGAGGTTGGTTATCTTTACCCTAAGAGCTGTGGGAAGCCATTTCTGGGCCCTCTCCGAGGTAGAGGCACCATCTGGATCCCATGAGATCAGCTCCGCTAAACCAGGCAGCATGTACTCCAGGATGTTCCAGAAAGGGCCCCAGGAAGTTGGCTCCCCAAGGCAAGGGCCGGCCACACAACTCTAGGAAGAGGTCTCATTTCTGGCTGGATGGACCTTGGGCATGAGGTCCATCTATTGTTTGCTCAGCCACTCAGCAAATGTTTATGGACCGCCTGTGCTAGGTGCCTGGCAAACAATGCTGAACCTCAGTAGGTACAGTTCCAACACCAGCATAGCATAGTCTGGTGCATGGGTTGCAAACTTCTAGAAAGAGCCAGATAATACACGTTTTAGGTTTTCTGGGCCACAGAGCATCTGTCGTAATTATCATCTCTGCTACTGTAGTGCAAAAACAAGCCATAGACCGTATGTAAACAAGCAGGTGCACGGGTGCATTCCAATAAAACTTTATTTACAAACACAGTCCGTGGGCCGGATTTGGCATAGGAGCTGCAGTTTGCCTGCCCCTGATCCATCAGGATGAGAGTCCCTAAACAGATAATACCAGATGTGGTGTGAACTGGTAGCAGGTGTTAACAGGGAAACAATGGCAAGGGAAGAGGGCGGAGAGTGACACGGGTGGGGATAGAGCTGATCTTTCTGATGGGCCAATCTAAGGAGGTGTTGACTGAGCAGACACATAAAGAAATTAAGGGAAACGGCCATGCGAAGATCTGAGGGGGTAGAGTTTCCAGAGGAATGATAGCACTCGAGAACTTCAAGGCGGGAGCTACTTGAACATAATAAAGGGGTTGGCGCAGCTGTTGCTGAAATCAGGTGGGGAAAGAGTGAGGAGGTACGAGGGGCGAGATGGGCCAGGGCTCTATCACGGGTGTGAAGGACTTTAGAGCACATCTGGGGAAGCTTTTAAAGTTTTGCAGATGGGCGTTTCAAGAGGCTACTGCTGGCAAACAGACCAGAGGGGCGAGGGTAGAAGGGGGGAGCCCAGAGAGGAGGTGACTTTGGTCCAGGTGAGAGAGGTTGGCCACTGGCTTAGGGCAGGGTTTCGTGGTGGAGAGGGAGACTCTCATGCCTGGGGCTTAGGTTTTGACAGTAGGGCGGTTAGGATTCGCTCTGGATTGGATGTAAGGTGGGGGAGAGAGAGGAGTCAGGCAGAGCCAAGCCCCGACAGGGAGAGTGGAGGCGCCTCTGCTGAGTGGGGGAGCTTGATGAGAGTCAGGGGGGCTGGGAAAGAACAGCTCTTTCCCTCACTAAATCCACTCTCCGGGTGGGTCCTTTCAAGGTGGCAGCAGAAGCTGGAGACGGAAGGCTGCTCCTAAAGAAAAATTAGGTCCTCTGGGCACCCACTGTTCTCAATAGTTCGGGAGACTATAGAGCCAGGGCTCTGCCTTTGGAGGGCCAGGGGGCTTGTCTGTGGGATTTCTCAAACTGTTAATTCTGTGTCTTTGGGTGAATATCTTCCCCACTCCGGGCCCCAGCTTCCTCATCTGTAAAATGGCACAAGATGAGACCAGACTCAGGAGTCCTGATTCTAAACTAAGCCGCTATTTACACTTGGGCGTGCAGGGCTCGGATTGGGACCCAGAGCTCTTGGACTGCAGAGCTGGTGCAATCTCCCTCTGCAGGATGATGAGATGAGCCTAGGTGGTGGTGGTGGTGGTGGTGGTGGGGCTTTGTATTGTGGTCATGACCCACGGGGAGGGGGGGGGTAGGAAATCTGTTGAATGAGTTATGACCAGCATTCAAACCAAATCACCCCAGACAAGAGGAAAGATAAGAGTGTATTGTATGTAGCAGGGTAAGTATTGTTTCGTGAAGCTTTTGTTTCAGTCTCCGGTAAATGGGGTGTGAACGGAGTTGTGAAAGAGAACGCATTTCTTCCGAGGGTTCCACCGAACCCAAAGTTTGGAAGCCACGGGCCCAGCGCGTCCTGCATGGCTTGGATGAGCTGTGCTCTGTGCGTCTGCACTAAAGTCTTTCCGCTTTGGTCTCTGTCTTCAAGGAATCTGGGATGAAGTGGCCCACCCCCCACCCCGCCTTTCCTCTGGCGAGGGAAGGGGGCTCCAGCTTGGGGTTTGGCGTGGTGGGGACTATAAAAAAACAGAAACAAACAAGAAAACAACAGGAGACAAAACCCAGCCTGTGATTGCTCTGCATGGGAGTTCTGTTTTAGAGGCTTAAAAAGACCCCTCCTTCCCCCCTTCTCTTTCCAGAAGAACCGAATGCACATAAGGTCGCCAGCCCACCCTCCGGACTCGCATACCCCGATGATGTCCTGGACTATGGCCTCAAGCCATACAGCCCCCTCCCCAGTCTCCCTGGCGAACCCCCCGGCCGATTCGGAGAGCCGGATAGGGTAGGGCCGCAGAACTTTCTGAGCGCGGCCAAGCCAGCGGGGCCCTCGGGCCTGAGCCCTCGGATCGAGATCACTCCATCTCACGAACTGATGCAGGCAGGGGGCCCCCTCCGCGGGAGAGACTCTGGCCTGCTGGGGGAGCAGCCGGCCCTGGCCGGCGTGGCCGGCAGCCCGCGGTTCACCCTGCCCGTGCCCGGCTTCGAGGGCTACCGCGAGCCGCTTTGCTTGAGCCCCGCTAGCAGCGGCTCCTCTGCCAGCTTCATTTCCGACACCTTCTCCCCCTACACCTCGCCCTGCGTCTCGCCCAATAACGGCGGGCCCGACGACCTGTGTCCCCAGTTTCAAAACATCCCTGCTCATTATTCCCCCAGAACCTCGCCAATAATGTCACCTCGAACCAGCCTCGCTGAGGACAGCTGCCTGGGCCGCCACTCGCCCGTGCCCCGTCCGGCCTCCCGCTCCTCGTCGCCTGGTGCCAAGCGGAGGCACTCGTGTGCCGGGGCCTTGGCCGCCCCGCTGCCCGGAGCCTCGCCCCAGCGCTCCCGGAGCCCCTCGCCGCAGCCCCGGGACGACGGCGCCCCGGCCGGCTACCCCCCCGCGGCCGGCTCTGCCGTCCTCATGGACGCCCTGAACAGCCTCGCCGCCGACTCGCCCTGCGGCATCCCCCCCAAGATGTGGAAGACGAGCCCCGACCCGTCGCCCGTGTCTGCCGCCCCGCCCAAGGCCGGCCTGCCCCGCCACATCTACCCGGCCGTGGAGTTCCTGGGGCCCTGCGAGCAGGAGGAGGGCAGGAGCTCGGCCCCCGAGTCCATCCTGCTCGTGCCGCCCACCTGGCCCAAGCAGCTGGTGCCAGCTATTCCCATCTGCAGGTGAGCGCGCTCGGGTGGGCCTCGGTTTACCGTCAGGGCGCGTTTTCCGGGTGGGGGGTCGGGTGGGGGGGCATGGGGCGTAGAGTCCCCTGGACAGGATTTACACCCTGGCCCTCCGCTTACTGGCTGCGAGACCTTGGCAAGGAAGTTAGCTCGTCCGAGCTGTGGTTTCCCCGTCGGTACGAGGAGGTGCAAGTGTGCCGAACTCACCAGGTGGTGGTCGTGGGGATGCTCAGGGGCACCCGGCCGATTCATTCGTTCACGGGACAGGTGTTTATCAAACACCTCCCATGTGCCAGGCAGGCGCTGATTGATACAGGTGTTGGGGAGCCAGTGGTGAACAGGACGGGCACACATGTCTGTCTGCGGGGAGCTGACATTCTGGGAAGCACAGAGCAAGCCTTCATGTGGGGAGTTTGCTGGGCCTCTTCTAAGAGGCCTTGATGTTGGTTGGTGTCTTCTGTGTGCCTCAGTACTGCCGTCAGTGCCCTGGAGGTCCTAAAAAAAAAAAAAAAGCAAGTGTGAACCGTAATCCTCCAGGAGCTTAAAATAGTGGTAAGCTGAAGAGATGCATATAGGTGGCAGCGTGTAGGCTTTGGGGTCTGTCGGGACTGGATTTGAGTCCTGGTTCTGTCCCTCACTGGCTTTGTGATCATGGGCATTTCTGGTGCTGTGCCCAGGGCAGGCATGGCTAATCAATCAGGACCCCCTTCCTCATTGAGCACCTTGGCTCATTACCCTGCGAGATGAGAATGATAATAGTCCTCACCTCAGCATGGTGGTTTTTGTTTTGTTTTTGCAAGGATGAGGCAAGAGGATGGATATCAAATTCTTGGCATGCAGCCTGAGCAAAGTAAGAGTACAAAGGAGGGGCAGTCATTATAGAGGAATCCTCTTATTATGGGGGAAGCATTTAGGAGTTGCTTTCTCATCCATGAGCCTTATTCTAGGAGATTGAGCTCCCAATGGTTGTCAAAGGAACGACATGACAGTGATAGTCACCAGTGCTAAGGATGCTTGCTGTGTGCCAGGCATGATTCTAAATGTTCTGTATGTATTATTTCATTCTTTTTTTAAAAAAAGATTTTATTTACTTATTTATTAATGAGAGTCAGAGAGAGAAAGAGAGAGAGAGAGAGAGAGAGAGAATGAGAGGCGCAGAGACACAGGCAGAGGGAGAAGCAGGCTCCGTGCAGGGAGCCTGACATGGGACTCAATCCCGGGTCTCCAGGATTAGGCCCTGGGCTGAAGATGGCACTAAACCACTGAGCCACTCGGGCTGCCCTATTTCATTCTTATATAAACCTGGTTGGTAATCTTTTTTTCATTTTTTAGTTTTTAAAGAATTTATTTCGGAAAGAGAGAGAGCATGAGCTGGGGGGAAGGGCAGAGGAAGGAGGAGAAGCAGGGAGCCCAATGTGGGGCTCAGTCCCAGGACTCTGGGATCATGACCTGAGCCAAAGGCAGATGCTTAGCTCCTGGAGCCACCCAGGTGCCCCTGGCTGGTATTATTTTTATCTTCATTTTGATGCTAAGAAAAATGAGGCTCACAGAGTTTGGAAGAAAATGATATTCCATCAAAATGAGGTAAAAATAATCCCAACACTTTGAAAACCCTGAGGTAATGATAATAGCATGAGGCCCTAGATTCTTTTTTTTTTTTTTACAGATTTATTTATTTATTAGAGAGAGAGACAGAGAGAGACAGAGAGAGACAGAGACAGAGAGGAAGGGCAGGGGGAGAGAATCTCTTCAAGCAGACTCCCTGCTGAGCATGGAGCCCCATGCTGGGCTCCATCCCATGACCCATGAGGTCATGACCTGAGCCGAAACCAAGAGTCCCATGCTCCACCAGGTGAACCACCCAGGCATCCCAAGAGCTGTTTTGATTGATGGGAGGAGAGTAGACTAGGGCTGTGTCCCCCAGGCCTTGCTTAAATCCTGCACCAGACCGAACTGGACCACAGGGAGCTTCCAGTCTGGCGCCTCCTCCAGAATAGTTCTGAGAGCACCAGTGCCATCATAGGTTGATTGTTGTTCCTTAAAAAAGGAGTTTCTGAGTTTAACAGAGTTAAACAGATAGCATTATGCAGGGGCCATTCCCAGCTGTGGACAGAATAGGAATAGGCAGTGATTTCAAAGGCCACTTGGCTATGGAGTTATGAGTTCTGTGATGAAAGTTGTATGGAACCACTTTAGGAAATGCTGATTAAAGCCAATGCTGGTACAGGTTGAGAAACCTAGACTTGGGGAGGTGAGGCCTCATGCCTGTGATCACCCAGCTTATTAATGAGTGAGTAGGAAACTTAGAACCAACCTTGAGTTCTTGAAAAATTAGAGAGGGAGAAAAAACCATGAGAGTCTCCTAACTTTGGGAAACGAACAAAGGGTTGCAGAAGGAGAGTTGGGTGGAGGGATGGTGTAGCTGGGTGATGGGCACTGAGGAGGGCACTTGATGGGATGAGCACTGGGTATTATACTAAATGTCGGCAAAGTGAATTTATATTTAAAAAAAAAGAATCTCGAGTTCTTGACTCCTTGCTCTCTCTGCTGCAGATCAATCCCAGAATGTGACTTATGTAATGATTGAGGGTAGGAAAGAACATTCACATAAAATATGATCATGCTGCATTTGCCTGAGACTTTACTGTTTATAAAGAATTTATCATTTATCCTTCCATCTCCATTCTGTGGCTTGATCCAAATAACTGTGGATGCTGGTAGAGTTATTTTAATGCCTACAAGTGCCAGTTTTCTTTAAGATTGAGAGGATAGGGTATTCAAGGATGTCTCATGATATTTGTCTCAGGGTCTGTGTGGAGCAGAGGACTGGAATTCACATGCAGCATTTCACATTGGCTCTGATGGTCTAATTCTTAAGATTGTATTGTAGTCATCAAAGACTTATTCTAGAACCAAGGAAAATCTGAGGTCGATACTTAGAGATATCCCAGTGGATCTACTCCTTGGTTTTTGTTTTCGTTTTTGTTTTTTATACTTCAAAAGATAATACAAGGGTGAAGTGATTTTTTTATAAGCCTTCTTTTTATTTTGCAAACTTTAAAAAAATTTAATTTGTGTACAGAATGAGAGTATGGGTAACACATGTGACACCTTGGCTGCAGGCATATTGGCACTGAAACCAAGGTGGACATTGTAAGACTTCAGAGTAAGAGAGGCTTCAGGAGCCAACTAGTTACAAAGAAGAGATTGAGATTTGCTTGCATGGTGAGGATATAATTTTAAAATTGGATTGTATGTTCAAGTTGGACTCCATTGCTGATGGAGTTTAGGGGGTGCCACTCCCCTGCATCTCCCCTTGGTACTGTTATGATGGAGAAGGGATGGAATTGGTTTCATTGCAAATGCTTAACTAAGTTCAGTTGATAATCTCAGCTTTTGGCAGCTCTGGGTTTAGTGGAAAAGAATATCCTGATTGGATTAATGATTGGTGCCATATGTGCAAAATCAGGACACAGTGACACAAATCCATGCATTTGCAACTCTGAAACTACTTTGAATATACAGGGCTCCTTTTCAGTAAAACTGCTCATTCATTCATTCATTCATGTATCCATCCAGCCATCAACCCACCCACCCACTGAATATTCACTGAGATATGTGCTGCCAAAGCGAGCACATGAATATTCACTGAGGATCTTTCAAATGTCAGGTATTATTCTAGAGTCATGCCATAAAGGAGGGATTGTTTTGGCCCTATTTTAAATAAATTAGTAAGATAAGAGGTAGTATAGAGATGTGCATGGAGCACTGGACCCAGAATCAAGACACATAAGTTGCAGCCTTGGTGTGTCTTGCTCTGTAATCTTGGGAAAATGTCTGTGTTCTCTGAGGCTCTGAAGGAATACTCTAGTTAGATCATTAAGATTTCAGTCAACTCTTAAATGACATAATTTTAACCATATATTAAGTACCCAATGGGTACTTGTGCTGGGTAGGTTTAAGATTCTTTTTATTTTATTTTTTATTTTTATCCATTTATGATAGTCACACAGAGAGAGAGAGAGGTAGAGACATAGGCAGAGGGATAAGCAGGATCCACGCACCGGGAGCCTGACGCGGGACTCGATCCCGGGCCTCCAGGACCGTGCCCTGGGCCAAAGGCAGGCACCAAACCGCTGCACCACCCAGGGATCCCAGGTTTAAGATTCTATAGTAAAATAAAACTTAATACATGCCATTACAACTTCAGATATAAAGGCATAGATATCTAATTATCATAACCACAAGTAAATTAGATTGTCTAGAGGACATAACTATTTGAAATATGTGATATATATGTATAGGGAAACATAATGATAGCCTAATATTTATTGGGGAGTTATTGTGCTAAGCTGTTTATATGATCTCAGTATCCTCATTTCCCAGTTGAGGAAACTAAGGCCTAGGGAGATAGAGGCATCTACTCAAAGTAGTTAGAGGTGGAGTTTGGACTTGAACTCCGGTGGGTAACTCCAGTTATGTTCTTGACCTTTACTCTTCCTTTAAATTTAGGGGTCTCTAAGTTTAACTACCTTTCCATGATTAGATGTTTTATATTTGCCCTGATAAGCAATGCCTATGATGAGAAATGGGCTCTCCCTAGAATTATCTTTTAATTGAAAGCATCAGATTTGGAAATAAGAGCTGAAATAACCCTCAGGTGCCATCTGGTCCATATGTTATGTTATTATAAGACCCCGAAGATAGAAGAGGTGAGGTTACTTGCCTAACGTAACATGGCACATTAGTGACAACACATAGCCCCCTGATTTCCACTTCAGTGTACCTTCTCCCACACTCAGTCATTTAGAAAGGGAGAACATTCTGAGAAACAGGTGATTTGTAGAGGTAGGAGGTGGTACTCTTCAAAATTCCTAGAGGAAAATAAGCTATAGCAGTTAGAAATGTGCTAGAACTCACATATAATGAATTTAGCTTCATAAATTGAGATGTTAAAAAAATAAATTGAGATGTTAGTCCCATAATTTTCATCAAAGATGGAAGAGAAAACAAAAGGATCTCTACCTTGTGAAGAGTCCCACCCATCCTGTCTGAGAAATAAGTACTTCCTAATGGTAGGATCAAATACCTTTTGGACATGATTTTTCAGAAAAGGGACCATTTACATTTAGTGTACAGGTTGACTGGTTTTTGTTTTTTATACTTCTGATTTCTCATACACATGACTGATTCTTTTTCCTCCTTCAGCATCCCAGTGACCGCATCCCTCCCTCCGCTTGAGTGGCCGCTCTCCCACCAGTCGGGCTCCTATGAGCTGCGGATTGAGGTGCAGCCCAAGCCACATCACCGGGCCCACTATGAGACAGAAGGCAGCCGAGGAGCTGTCAAAGCTCCAACTGGTGGCCATCCTGTCGTTCAGGTATGGACTTGAATCTTTGTCCTATTTGTGTCCTTCATCTGCCACTAGGTGATCTACTTCTCAGCCACTATCTGTTGCTTATTGGGTTGTCATTTGTGTCTAAGCCTCCTACCTGTCTGATGGATGGAAAATTTGAGATGGAATGAGTATCAGAAACTAGTTCGGTTACTCAAAGGCCAAATGAGAAAGTCTTCCTGAGCTGGATAAGGATAGAAATGATATTCTTGCTCAAGCTACTTTTTCCCTTCTCTTCCTGATGGAAAAATTGCTAGATTTTGCAGAGGTTTGTGCATTGGCAGAAGGTTTCTGAAGGCATTATTTTGTGTTTAAATTTCAGATGCGAGTCCATTGAGGAAAATTCATACATTCTTGTAAAATATAGAAAGCTAGGAGAAAATGGAAATTACATATAAAATATTCTTTTCATTGTATTGTAGTTCTTGTTGCCTTTTTTTCTATTCACAAACTTGGCAATGTCTATTAATGTACATTTATATGCTGTCACAGTAATTGGTACTCTGATTTTTTTTTTATATTATACCATGAACATTTCCTCCTGTTTTTTTCTTAATCATTATCTTTTATGCCTGTGGCTTTTGATTTAACCTCAGACTTTTTTTTTTCAAAATAAGTAGTGTGCATTTTTCTGCAAAATAATTAGAGTTGAAATTATCTTTCTTAATCGTGTAATCTGTTTAGCCTGAGACTGCTAATTGGTGCTCACCAACCAACTCAATTAAGCAGAACCTTCAATATATATAAATTTACCTCTTATTTGTATGAATGTATTCTATGATAAGAATTCTGTGATGCGTTAGAACCCTGTAGAGATTCCTAAGCATCCCCTGAAACTACTTAATGAGAAACTACATAAGTAGGGCTCAGGCAAGCGAAAAACACAAACCCCAAAACCCTGAAATCTCCACAGGTGCTTTGGGTGTACACATCCGGTTAAGGACTTTCATGATGGTATTAGGAACTTACAAATCCTGGCGTTGCTTTTTCTAGAGCGGATATCACAGCTATTTTGGGATCTGTGTGTATTCATCACTTCTCCTTGATCATGAGCCACATTCTCCTCTTTGTTTGCATGTCTAGTAACTGTTGGCTCTCTTCTGATATTGTGATGATTATACACACACACACACACACACACACATATACATATACACATTGGACATTATAGAGACTCTGGATTTTGTTATCTTCCTCCAAAGGCAGTTCAGTAACTGGCTGATCACTGTGAACTTGTGTAGACTTGATTTTACATTTTGTGAGGGTCACCTGCGGAACGCCTGAAAAGTTTACAATGGTCCCTCCTGTGTTGAGCTCGTTGAGACTTGATTTTAGGGTGTGCCAGGGGCAGTTCTAGGGTAGCCTCTACTCTAAGGCATACCCTTATTTCTAAGAATAACCTTTCTTAGATGCTTGGTGAGGGAGGTGACTCCATGCGGGAGTGAACATGGGCTCACCTCCTGTATGTTCTTTTCCTCAGTGACCCCAGTCTTAGGCTTCCTGCTATATCTAAAGCCTGAAAACAGTTGACTTATCTATGTTTGTCTGAACTTAACAGTTGTTTATTTGGGGGCCGAGGGGCGAGGCTGGCCTGGTACCATTTTCTCTGTCATGCATGAAAATTGCTTTTTGGGAAAGGAAGTCTTTATGTCATTATTGATCTAGGCTTATCGATTCTATGATGGGGACTCTGGCTCGGAGTGTGGCGTTCATTTGTGGGTCAGAATCAAAACTTTTAGTATCATGGGAAGAGAAACTCACTGAAGGCAGATTAGAAGGGGAATTAGGGGCTTGTCTGAGAAGGCTACCTTTGCAGAACCAGGCCAGGAGACTTGGGAAGAAGCTGGACTTGAGAATGGTCCAAAAATGTACTTTTTTGTTCAGTCAACCCAGTCAACAAGGGGGTTCATTCTGGAAGTAGTTGTCGAGCACCTACTTCTTTGCCATATACTGTGCTTGACACTAAAATACAATGAAGAATAAAAAAGAGGTTAATGATACAAACGATAAAGGTACAGAGTGTGGCAAGTAGCATGAAGGAAAAGAAACTGAGGCTCTAGGCCTCAAAATGGAGGCGCCAAGGAAAATGAGGGAAGAACATCTGCTAGGATTTCCTTGAGAAGGCGACTGTGGTTGAAGATGCATTGGGGGAGTGGCATGTGCAAAGGTCTGGAACTGTGCCAGAGGAATGAAGGAGGCCAGTATAAGTGGAGCTGAGAAGGCCAGAGGGAGGGGGGTAGAGGTGGGCAGGAGGGAGTTAGCAGGCTCCGCCCTCTCAGGGCTGTGCTCTCCATGCTCTGATCACTTATCAGACACCGGTTGAGTGCTACTGTGTACCAGGCACAGTTCTAGATGCTGTGATATGATATGAACCAAACTGTGAGAAATCCTAGGCCTCAGGAGGTTACAGTTGAGCAAAATGATAATAATAGTAGTTAACATTCAGCTGTTCCCCATACTGTATGTGTTGACTTATCTAATCATCAAAGGGGCCCCAGGAAGCAAGTCACAGTGAGGTCAAGGAGATGCCGAGGGACTCTCATAGCTGTTAAGTGGGCCTGGGATTTGGACCCCGTGGGTCTGGCTCTTCTTGCTACACAATTTTGCTGATTTTTCACGTCTCTCTGCAGACCACCTTTCCCTGCTTCCACACCCTTACCAGGCTTCCTAAGCCTGTTGGAAAGATGCTCACACCTCCTGCCTATCAATTTTATGTGTGGTCCTCACACCAGGTCACTGGGGGCCCAAATTGTGATGTCTCATGGAGATCCTTTTTTTTTTTTTTTCTCATGGAGATTCTAATTGGCCTTGGTCCAGTTGACTTGGCCAGAGAGGTCAGACCGTGTGCAGTGCTGGGCTCTGCTCACCCATTCACCTAGGGCCAGGGCCATAGCAAGTTCCAGAGAAGTGAATGAGCTAAGATGGGCAATTCAAAAGACCCTGCTGAACTGTGCTTGAAGTTCGTGTACCTCTCTTTCTGACAGGCCTCTAAGGATCCATCCCTCTTCCTGTTCCTAACTTTGAAAACCCAGCACATGACTTAAAAGTTTGTAGCCACAGTTTTGAAAGATACAAAGTGAAGTATTTTTTTTTAAAATCATTTCAATAGATTGTTTTCTTCAAAATGTGCTAACCCCTGATTTCTAGCATAGTAAGTCAGTTTTTTTAGAAAACTTCTTTGAAAGTTGAAGTGCAAAGGGGACTTAAGACAAGTGCTCTTACCCCTGGAGTAGGAGTGAAAACCCCTTTCGAAATCGGGAGGGTTGCCCTTTCGTTCCCAAAAGTACAGCGAAGCCCTGTTTTGTACCTTGCCTAGATGCTTCTGCTGGTTTCTCTCTTGATCTGTCTCTCTTCTCTTTATCTCTACATCTGTTTCTATTTCTGTACAGTACCACGGCTCCTTCCCCCCTCAATGACTGGTCCCCACCCTTCTCTTTTTTATTTACCACACTATAAAACTTCATTCTTTTTGCATGCCTCGTGGTTTTATGCTCCTCTTTATGTGAAAATAAAATGAGTACAAGATCATTTCGTTCGTTCTTTACATATAAAATTAAAAACCAAAAAAAAAAATTAAAAACCTTAAGTGTGTGCATGTTTAGCTGTTCATTTTTTTTTTTTTAATATCCCTTGGCCTTGGAAGAAAGTTTGTTCCAAACCTTAAATGCTTTTGGATCTCATGATTCATTCAACTGGCATATATTTTGTTGAGGACCTGCTGTGTGCCAGGCACTGTGCTACGTGCTGATAATACAATGATGGGGGAGATGAATACAGTTTCTGTCCTGCTGATAATACAATGATGGGGGAGATGAATACAGTTTCTGTCCTGGGGGTGCAAAGTAGACCAGAATGGTTTGGTGTGACCATTGTTGAGATGTGGGTGAGTCAGGGAGGCAGATGAGGGCAATCTGGAATGACATCTGGACCCTAGGGCAAGACATGATGAGTGATTAGGATTTACCATATGGGGGTAACTACTTCAACAAAACCCACCATGCCAAGAGAGTACTTGGAAGACCTGCCGTAGAAGGGAGTCTTGCTAAGGATATGACTTATCAGCTGGGTCCCTGAGCAGGTGACAGAGTCAGCAAAGAGAAAGACCAGTGTCACTTGAGTTTATCTTGGGGGGTGATGGGTTGGCAGGACCATGCTGTGTAGGACTCATAAGCCAAGGGGAGGAGTTCAAGTTTTATTCCAAGGTAAGGGGAAGGGAGTGACAAGTTTTGAGTAGAGGAGGAAGGTGATTCTGATTTACTATTTCTTTTTTTTAAAGTTCCTTTCTTTCATTAAAAAAATTATTTATTTATTCCTGGAGACACACAGAGAGAGGCAGAGGGAGAAGCAGGCTCCTTGCAGGGAGCCCGATGTGGGACTCGATCCCAGGACCCTGGGATCATGCCCCGAGCTGAAAGCGGATGCTCAACCACTGAGCCACCCAGGTGCCCCTGGCTTACTATTTCTAGGATCATTTGGGCTTCTATCTAGGGAGTGGGTTAGAAGGCATAAGGGAGGAAGCAGGGAAATGAATGTGAGGGGCTGTGGCAGTGCCAGGTGAAGATCAAGCTGCTGAGGACAAGATGTCAGTGGGAGGGAAGGCGGGGGTGGGGGGGAGGGATTCTATGGTGTGATCGATCTTCAGGACTCAGAGCTGGCTTCGATGCAGGAGGTGAAGGGCCTACGGGTCCAGGATTGTGTCGTGTGCCCTGTGGGGAGACAGGAAGGAATTGTTTTATTAAGGGAAGGTGATGAATTCAGTTTGGGGTGTAGGAAGTTGGAAGGGCCTGTGAAGTATCCAAGTAAAGATGTCAACAGACAGTGAAGTATCCAAGTAAAGATGTCAACAGACAGCTGGACTTAAGAGCCCGGAGCTTGGAAGCAAAGCACTGAACTTTCTACCTCTCAGGCCTCTGGAATGCCACAGGATCGCATGTGCCATCACTGGAGGGCTGAGCACAGATCCACTTTGAAGGGTTTATTTCCCA